TTCATCAATATCAAAGCAATTGCACTTGCGGTTTTTAACAAGAAGTCGAAAATATCACTTTTTACCAAAAATGACAAAAATATTCACCAAAATTAGAGAATTGAAGATATCAACATGAAATGAACAAACCTAAGAGAGGTCTACCCAAGGTACATATACACCAAGTATCAAAGCATTCAGGCTTGTAGTTTTCAAGAAGAAGTCAAAAAAGTAAAACATTGACACGGACGACGGACGACGACGACGACGGACAATCACTCATATGATAAGCTTCGCTCGACAAAGTCGACAGCGGAGCTAATAAAAGACAGAATGGCGCCTCGAAGACTCAGACAGGTATACATTGTATTAAAAATGTTTAGGCTACAGTTATAATGTTTTGATTAGTAGTGATAAAATCAGTGGCAATTTCATTAGGTACTTGCTCTGATGTATCAACATTTACCACAATCTGATCGTCCAATGTTTAGTGAAAACGATTGTAATTTTTATTTTAGTAATATTCTTTTAAATTTAATTTTTAAATTCTTTTATTTTATTTTTTTTTGAATGGTTAAAGATCTGAACAACCTTATCTTGTTTGTGAGATTTCAAATAACCAGATTAGTCAACTAATCAGAGTTGGCCTTGTATACAGTGATTATAATGGTGCGTATGCATTGAAGTCCCATAATGGCTGAATATAAAACCTTCTCTGATTGGTTAGTGAAATCTGTAAGAGTTGAATGAGATCTCCTATGAAGGTTGTTCAGATATTTGGACTTTTGCAATCAGATATAAACTACAAAAAAATAAAATTAGAAATATAATTAGAAAAAATAATAAAATCACACACCAAAAAAAAAAGAATGAATTAAAATCTGCAAAATAAAATTAAAAATGTAAAAAAAACAACAACTAGATTCTAATTTAAAGTGAGATCATGTAAAAGCTGGTAGCATTTTTGACCAAAAAGGAAAAAGAAAAAATGATGTTATCAGTAATTGAAAAAAAATAATATTTGCGGTCTTTAATTAATACTACACGTACAGCATGAATCTGAATGTTCCTTATAGAATAATACAAGTCAATGTCAATGACATAGTCCCTGTCTGTATCTGAATGCATAATGATTTGAGGACACAATCGGGAGAAGGATTAATGTTAAAGAAAATTTCATTGAAACAACAACAATTTATCGGCATGTCTTTTTACCAACTTTGAACAAAATCTGTTGAGGCATATCCGAAAAATGATTTTTTGAAATGAAAATGTCCACTAATCAGTCAAAAGATGATGGCTGCCAGTCGGCCTTTTTAAATTTAATCGAAAAACAAAACAACATGATCAGTATATTGAAACAGGGAGGTGCATACTGGGAAATGGTTGATGACATTTTCAAACATTTTTAAACAGAGTAAGAAGTAAACTTTAAGATTGATAATGTCACATGGTACTATTCAACCAATTTCAATTCAATTTCAATAAGAGTACGCAATGTTGACCCAGGTCAAAGTTCAGATTATATCCTCTAACTACATTTTTATGTGTTAAGGATTTTGAATAGAAGTTTCACACTTGTGTTATGACCGCTCCAGAATTGGATATACATAAATGTTGCATTGTGGGAGTATATAGTCTTTGCCAATATACCAGGAAACAGGTAAAAACTAATATAAAGTGACTGAAATAGTGTTGCTGTTTAGAATATGATTCAACAATACTTATACAGGGAATGGTTTACCAAATCTATGATTTAGATGTCAAGAATGTTTTACAAATTTTCAATGACAATTTAAAAGTCCAATTTGAAACTTTCAATAAACTTGAACTATGAGTCTGTGGGAATTCGGTTCGAATAAATCGCCACGTTTAATAAATCTCCACAGAACATACAGCAGACTCAAATGATCGAGTTCAAAAGAAAGTCGTAATGACTTCTTTATTCAAGGGTAGAACGTTGAACATTTCAACCAGTAATTACATCAGTAGTACAAACTTCTGTATTAAAACTGTGAGTGCCCTTGATGAGGGACAAATAGGTGAATAACTTGAAAAACTATGAACTAAATTCAAATGTGGACTCCATTGATGACCGCCATATCCATCGAGAGTAGGAATCATGGGTAACACTGCATAATAATTAGCACGTTTGAGGTCGATTCCATTGCTCATACGGGGTAACTCTTAATGTACAAACACATGTAAACGATCTAACAGTGAAATAATAGGGTAATTTCCTCAGTTAATAGGGAAATATGAATAAACTAGAATAATCTAAACTGTTTATAAAGATAACACTAGATGAGTAAATCTATCTAAAAGTAGAAATGTATTGATACATATTCTTATGCATTAAATTAATTAACAAACACATGTTGACCTGTGCCCCGACATACTGCCCGGCAAAAAATGCAAAGCAGACATGAAACATTGGGTTTGTTATTATGTCATAGAATGAAGACAAATGTTTGAGGCACAATACTTAGAAATAAAATGCATGATCATTCAACTGACTAACACAGTAATCATACACTAAGCTTAAGATTGCCCTGAAAAAATTTACATTTGGGTGTAAATACTACTAAGAGTACTTATGGTTTCTATAGTTCATCAGCAAAGTTCTGAAATGAAACAATAATATGCAGTAGACCAGCTGATTGCTAGCCTGAACAAGTTTGTTTCAATGGTGAAGTCTTATCAGGGTATCCATGATACCGGATGTGATTGACACTGCTTGACCTAAAGGTCATGAATGTCATTGTTAGAACACGTGTCAACTCTAGGATTTCTTCATGGAACCATGGATGTACCAGTTGAGCAAGGCTAACCGAGTCGTGACCTCGATGTGGTTCGTAACCAGTCTTGTGATTGGTTGTTGACAAATGCTGAACAGGCCACGCCTCCAACGGTGTCATGCGTTCGGACTAACCGTTAGGAATTCCTAAATGGAGTAAATTTGTGTAGTTTTCTTGATTTATTCTGCAGATATCGGTAAAATGTAGGTAAGGCTTTGGCGAAATACAAAGGAGCAACTAATATTCTTCAACCTGGTATTTTTTTTAGATTTTATTTTTTTCGTCGGTTTTTTCGAGTTTAAAAAATGTGAGATGGCTGGAGCCTTCATCCCTTGTCTATTTCTTACACTAGATACCAGCCGATACCCCCCCCCTCCCGCTCATAGAAACTCCTATTACAGTTGATTATAGTTCCTGGGCTCCCTGTGGTGAAAGTGTGTATTTCGACGTTGGTTGGGTTATCAGCAAAATACTTGCGGTTCATTTTGTAGTCGGTTATTGTCCGCAGATCTTCGGCAGTGTTTTGCCATATCGGTAATAATTCTGACTCGATCGGTTTATCCCAACTATGATTAGTCAACCATAACTGTTGAATTATGAGTTTTGCACGGACTTGAATTGGTGAGTAATATCCCAGGGGGTCGTATAAGCTAGCACAGTAGCTACGATATCGCGCTTAGAAGTTAACGGTCCAAATGATGGAGCGCGTAGTTGTTTGGCTTGTAGGACGTCGTCCGCGGAATTCCATTTGATTCCTAGAATTGAAACGTCGTCTTTGGGGTTTGCTCGACCGTCGGTTTCGATGATTTGTTTC